GTTCCAGATCCTCCTGGCTCTCCAGTTCGGACTCTTTCTGCTCCAGATACCAGATCAGCAGGTCCTCCTCTTCGACGCCGTCTTCCGCTGACGCCTGATCCGCGTTGACCCTCTGCACCATAAGGTTGAGGATCGACATGTACTTGTCGTACGTGATTTTCGTCCTCGGCCTCGCGGGCGCCGGTGTAGCTGACGCTCCCCTCGCAGACGCATTCGACGGGCCCGCTTCACCATCTGCCGCGTCTCCATCCGCCATGGGTGAGTCCCCGTCTCCATCACCGTCGCACTCAGCCCCAGCAACCGCCTCGCCATCTTCATCGTCCTCAACCTCAATATCATCTTTTTCAACCGAGATGATACTCTGCCTCAGCAGATTATACGCCTCCCCCACAAACTCCGGCGTGACCTCCATAACACAATTCGCCTTCGCAATCGCCTCACTGAGGCGAATCATACTTTCCAGCTGCCTAACCGTGATCCTGTAGCTATTCCTCCCAATGCCCCCCTGCGCGTCATCTGCCCTAAGCTCCTTGTACTTCTGGACCAACACCGTCTTCGCCTCGGGCGTAAACTCCGGCTTAAAGGTCCGCGCAAAGCGGATGTAGCGCTGCAGCTGCTCAGTGCTGAACTCCGGCTCTACAGCCTCGTCGCGCAGACGGTGGATATTCACGATGTGGTCCGCGAGTTTGCGGTCGACGGCCTCGGAGCACTCGTCCAGGACAACGAAGAAGAGGTCGAAGCGGGACATGATCGGCGCGCTCATATTCACGTTTGCCCTGAGCGTCTTTCTTCTGTCATAGCGCCCACCGACCGGGTTCGCGGCCGCGAGGATCGAAGTGCGCGCATTCAGCGTCGCCTGGATCCCGGCTTTGGCGATACTAATGGTCTGCTGTTCCATTGCCTCATGGATCGCGACCTGGTCGCCTATATCCATCTTGTCAAACTCGTCGATGGCGCAGATGCCGTTGTCCGCGAGCATGAGCGCGCCGGCTTCGATTGTAAACTCGCCTGTTTCCTCGTCTTTGACGACCGCGGCTGTGAGACCTGCGGCCGAGGACGCTTTACCGGAGGTGTACACCGCGCGGGGCAGGAAGCTGCAGATGTATTTGAGGAATTGCGATTTCGAGGTGCTGGGGTCGCCGACGACGCAGATGTTGATGTCGCCGCGCAGCGCCATGCCCTCGGGGGTCGTTTTGCTGACGCCGCCCATGAGCTGTAGGAGAAGCCCTTTTTTGATGACTTGGTGGCCCCAGACCATTGGTGCAATGGAGTCGACGAGCGCCATGAAGATGTTGGGTTTGTGAACCATGTTCCGCAGATCTTCGATCTCGGCCTGGGTGAGCGTGCCCAGGTACTCGGTCTGCGCTTCCTCGCCTGTCGCGTCTGATTCTAGTGGTGAGATCTGGTTCAGCGAGGCGAGGATGTTGCCGGCTTGGCCTGTGAGGTGGTGGTGCTGGGTCGACTGGCCGGCAGTCGAGGTGTCTGGGATGACCATGCAGGCGAGGAAGGCGAGGCGGTATGTCAAGTCGCGGACGCCGAGGGATTTGAGACCGCTGACACCGGAGCCGCCCACGTCTGCGCCGCGGGGCGCGTTGCCGTTGTCGCGCGTGGCCTGTGGTCGCACACCAGGAACGGCGAACTGGCTGACGTCAGGGATGACAATGAGCGTGCCGGTGAAGATGCACTTCTCGCCTGCTTTGGCGCGCTCGACCATCTCACCCCGCAGGATCACGTCCATGGTGCGCGGCATGCTACCCGTGGGTATCTCGGAGCTGTTCTCTTGGATGCGGACTTTCTGCCAGTCGACGAAGGTGCTTTGCCGGATGTCGAGCCGCCAGCCTTGCCGGTTGCCGCAGGTCAGGTTGGGACATTGCGTCGGTTCTGTGTAGCGGAACGTCTGTTCGATGCTGGGCACAACCGTGTTGCAAACCTCGCAAACGAAGGTCGCGAGGGAGAGCTCGGGGCGGACTTCAGACGTCCTGGTTACAGTGCCGGAGATGCTAAGGAGCCTACCGATCTGCAAGGTCCGTAGTTGCCTGATGCGAGAGACGAGGGGCAGGTTGTAGAATGCGAGTGTGAAGAGCTTGTCCGTCTGCTGATTCGGCGTTTTATCCGCTATGCTGTCGTTCTGGCTCGGGTCGGTGCCTGCAACGGACGAATTGGTGCCGGCAGAGGAGGTAGAGGTCGGTTGCCGGTGCTCGCGGAAGTACTGGGGCTCGTACTTTGCGATCAGGTTGTGTAGCGCTCGGATCATGAAGGGGAGGAAACGGTAGTACTCATTACCGACTGCTTGCGCGAGGATACCGTCCCCGTGTCGGAGAAGGTGGGTGTAGTCGACGTAGAGTGTGGACAGCGAATACTGCTTGAGGCCGTGTATCTGGGCGACGTAGTACTTGTCTGTCGTCTGGATGCTTGAAATTGGGGCGCCGGAAGAGGACAAGTCTTCTGTGTAGCTACTCGAACCATCAGCCAACTACGCTAGTCTATGCAGACTCCTCGGAGCGCACCTTTCTAGGAACCCCTCGAACGTCTGCGCAAGCTTCTCGCCCGTCGCATCCACCACTCTTGGGATGTCGCCTCGAGGCCTCCGTGGTCCTTTCCGTGTCCCCCTTCGACCAACAAGCTCGTCGTCTGCATATCCTTCCGCGTCACTGTTCGCGCCCGCGCTCTCCGACATGGGCCCCCGGGGCCGTGACGAAGAGCGAGGTTGCCGTGCGCGCGACGTTTGTGCGTCGCTGGCAGGAGTTCCAACATTGAGGGCAGCGAGGTCGGCGTTGAGGTTGTCCGAATTTATGACGGCATCAATCAACGAAGACATCTCGAACTGGATATGGAGGGGACGCGCTGCTCGTGGTGAGTTTGTTGTTGATGTTCAGGAGGTTTGGCGGGACACAACGCGAGACGCGCTTCCTCCCAGGGACGCGCTGAGTGCTTGCATAATCGATAGTTGTTCGTCCAATCAAAATCTCAGCGCACTCTCCAGAGCTACGAAACGATGCAGTTACCAAGGTAGCAAACTTTGAAGCTGGTGGTTGCATTGTTTGGGGATCTTTCTTACGGACATAGGTTTGCCATGGACCATCCCAGAATCTTAATCAAGACAACCTTGTGACCGCACAGCAACTCTAATATCCAGGTCCCGCAGGTCAATCCTCGACAAGATGCCGGCTCGGTTCGATGGCCGTGTGGTCCTAGTGACTGGCGCTGGAAGCGGCATTGGGTAAGGTGGTATGGCTCCGCCGTATCTATCAAACGGAATTGCTGACTGAACTGGTCAGTCGAGCAACTGCTTCGAAACTCAGCTCACTTGGCGCAAAACTGGCCTTATGTGACATCGACTTCGACGGCCTCATAGAGACCAAGGAGCTATGCCATGATCGCAAACACTACTACGCAGTCTTCGATGTCGGTTTGACAGAAAAGTGTAATGAGTTCGTGGGAGATGTTGTCGCGTGTTATGGCACCATCGATCATGTCTTCAATTGCGCTGGCGTGAACCCAACTTCTTACCCACTGGAAACTACCACGGACGAGTACTGGGACAAGCTGGTCAACACCAACCTTAAAGGCACCTACAACATCACCCGCGCCTGCATTCCCCACCTGAAGTCCGGCGCCTCCTTCGTCAATGTCTCCTCCATCGCCGGCCTGCATCCCACAGCGCAGCAAGCAATATACTGCGCCACCAAGTATGGGATTATTGGCTTCTCCAAGTGCATGGCGCTAGAGCTGGGGCCGAAGGGTATTCGAACCAACGTTGTGGCGCCGGGATACATTAATACCCCAACGAATGCAGGAGTCGTCAAGGGAGCAGAAGCGATAGCGAAGCAGGAGGAAGGGACGGCGTTGGGCAGGATGGGGACGCCGGAGGAGGTCGCCGATGTGGTTGCTTTTCTGTTCTCTGACGAGAGTCGGTACATGAATGGGAGCGTTGTGGAAGTTGATGGTGGCTTGAAGGCTTAGGCGGAGCATAGTTCTCTTGATGTCGAAAAGTTGTTGAGTGAGGTGCCAAATTGGCAGCATAGAGGAAACTTTACTGGAAAGAATCTGTGATATAGTGACGACATTATTTCGAACGGCATGACGAGCGCGCATAAAAGATTCTCACACCACAAGTGTTATTTAAGGCTTATCAACGATAGGATCAAGATATCTTCGTCAGGAACTCATATCGAAAACTACCAGGGTACTTTGAACGTGTCTTATCACTACCTCCTCAATACTGCTTAACAAGTTATTTGACATGGAGTTGCGACCATGGGGGAGCTGCAACTATGTCGATGGAAAACGCCAGCGTCAATCCGTACGAGCTGATAGCGTAGAACTTGAAGCTGACTTACTTGAACACTCTTTGCACACCCGGGATCCTGTAGGTGAGTGATAGACAGAAGCGTAGAAACGCTCCACGAAAGCCATACTCTCTCGATCGCATCTTCGTATCAGATATACTATACGATCAACCTATTGGAGGCGAAAGTAGAAGAATACGCGAGAGAGTATACATAGAAGAGAGCTAGACTCTCTCCCAAAATACGGATGTTCATCTTGCGCTTGATCTTGAAATAGGTACCGTAAAAAACCCTAGCGATATAGGACTGGAAGACTATCTAGATGATGATCGACGCAATTCCGAGAACGACATGCGCATGAGTTTGAAGAACTGATGCTACAAAAACTCTCTCATGATATTTCATATGCATCATGATTTGCGACTCGGATGTATGTTGTAGAAAGATATATAGTGTTATTAACACATCCACGACAAGGCATAGTAGTCGCATGCTAAGCAACTAGAAAGGAGTGTTCCGAATCGTAGGAAGTCGGTACGCATTAACAGCTGTAGCCCTTGCGCCCTTTTAAAATCCTGAAAAACGAGAAGCAGGAGCTTTGCATTTAGCTAGAAGCCGAACACACGTACAGGTATGGTTTCGGTATTTGGTGCTGCTCCCGAAGTGTAATGCTGTTATAATGTATGCAGGTTAAAATGTGATAAATGTCACGGTTTCGTAGTGTAGTGGTTCGTAAACTCTAAATCCGCATCTCGATGAACTTCAAACCTAACATACGACAGGCTAGCACTCGGGATTCTGAAAACAGAGATTTCCCGCAACCCCGGTTCGATCCCGGGCGAGACCTTCACTTTTGTCTTTTTGGTCCCTTTCGCTCTGTTCCATGCTCGCTATCACTGGCGGTGGGGCATTTAAGGGAACGCCGTGTTTTGTTGTGAGGCTGCAACGCCGAGTCTGTGCGCCCCAACTTCCTGAGCGGTGACAGCTTTCTGCCGGGAGTTTTTGAGCTGTCCGGAGATCATCAACACCTGGAAACCCCGAGATGGCGGCATGATGAGCAAACGACCTGTATCCACTTCTGGCGCCGACCACTCCGAGAGGCCTCGGGCTGCAAAGCGACAGAAAATCGAGGGCTCGAACGAGCATGCGACGAAAGCAGAAGAGATCCATTCGGCGCGACAGCTTCAGCAACTACTGGTCTTCCAGCAAGATGCGGTACCTCAACTAAGAAGTGGTACGGGAGCTCCATGTTACTTTGGTCTCTTTTCTAACATGCATCAGGTATCCAGGCTTTTAAGACATTCCTCGAGTCTATCCTCTACCCCACGGACGAGCACGACGTACCACGCCGACGAGCCATACTGCGAGACTTCCTCGAATCGCAAGTAAACTCCAGCGGAGGCGATGAGACAAGCGTTCCAAGCCTGATCCAAGCTTGGAGTTTCGCGGCTCAATCCAACAATGACTACCTTACGTCCTCCATAACCGCCCTTCTGGCGCTACTGTTGAAGACCGTCTCAACACAACTTGAACTTCGAGATTACGGCCTGAATATATGCAAAACTGTCCTCCAATCGCCTCAAACGAAGCTCATAGCTAGAAGCCTTTCGGCGCCCAAGCACAAAGAGCACGTGATATCGCCGGCTCTCCGCCTCCTGACCGAGGTGGTTTCGTTCGATGGAGGCACATTAGCCAGACAAGTTTATTCCAAGCGAGACTTCACCTTCGACGTCAAGATACTCGCCAGGAATCTGAGTATCGGAAGGGCTTCCACAGAGGAAGGACCAGAAGACAGGAGAAAACCCTCTGTGAGATCCAATGCTGTTCGCTATCTCCTGGCCAATCTGAAGTACCAAGACGGAGGTGCAAAAATCGACATACTCAAGCAAGGCATTGCGTTGAGGGCGTTATTTGACCGCATTCGTGACGACTCTCCCCAGCTCGCTACGGACATCCTGCGCACTGTTCGAACACATGTCATCCAGGACGACCACGTCCCGAGGTCAAGCAAAAGCTATCCGCTCACGGATCGTACATTGAGCAACATAGCAGGCCTCTACCGTGCTGATGAATCTGAAAATGAAGTTGTCGATGGTCACGTCCCGATTTCCGTAACGGCACACGAGTTCCTGCTTTTCGTATGTACATCACCAGAAGTGGGAGTGTTGAACTCCTCGTCGGGCTGGTATCCACCGGGGACCGAAAAACCGGACCTCGACGGGGACTTTATTGAGGAGGATCAGGCTGGCATTGATCTCGGACTTGACTCGATAGACTGGTATTCCAGGTACAACGGGAAAGTACCGATAAAAAACACAACGCTTGCGTCATTCGCTCAAGGGCTTCGACCTTACTCGAATCAGCTCGAGCAGAAGTTGCTGTTAGCGATCTTCGAAGTGGCTCCAGAGCTAGTAGCTGACTACTTCTTCAAGAAGAACTTCCCTTTCGACCCCAAGCTCACATCTACCTGGATCGGATACTCGTCGTTCCTCTTCTCTACTATCCAGCTCCCTGTGCCGCCCTACTTCGGGCGAAAGCAAGACTATGGCGACGTTCCTCCACCCACAGCGATCACCATCGAAAGCATCCTGCCGCGCCCGCTGAACCAGAAAGTGCTCACTAGATGCTTGAATCAGAACTCAGAGTTGATCACCTTCTTCGCCATACGCTTGTTGACTGTCGCATTCCAAAAATTACAGCAAATCTTAGCATTGTGGAAGCGCGCATCTACCAGGCGACCATTACTCTGGGAACAGGCATCAACAAGACTCATCTCTGAATTCTGCAAACGATGTCCCAGAATGAAAGATGCGATATCCGCCTATCGGCGCACCCCGGCAGATAAGTTCATGGAGCGAGAAGCTGCAGCAAGACTGCTGGCTATGTACTACGAAATCACGCCAGAATTAGCACTGGACGAGAAGTTTGACGTCTCCATGCCGTTAGCCAACGTCCTGGCCAAGCCTGAGCAATCTGCAGAGAACGACGATGAGAACGGTATCAGATTACTGGAGCTATCTCACTTGGTAACTATTGCACGCCGCTCTCCAAACATGCGCTGGTGGAACAAGCCAGGTAGGTTGATAAACCTTGCACAAGGACGTAGCTAACCGTTGTCAGAGTCCCTCCGCTTCTCGCCTTTCACGTCACTGCTCAAGCTCGTGTCCTCTGTCGCTCCCGGTACAGCTTCTTCATCCATTCGGCAGTTGATCACTTCCATCGTCCGCGAACAGGAGATAGTGCTCACGGAAGGAAAGCCATCCTCGCTGGACGCTCTTGTAGCAAGCTTGCAGACGTCGAAAGCCTGGGTGCCTACGGATGCAATATTCTGCTTTCTCGATGATTGCCTGAACCGCTACGTCCGTAAACCCATCAAGTATCAAGACGATCTAGATGCTCTCATCAATCTGGATCCCAGGGTCGCTCAAGGTCTTGAGCCAGAAACGGTCAGTCCGCTATTGATGACCATGGTAGAACAGTGGGAATTCATCGCGACTATGGATTTCGACAGGGCATCTGAAGTCGGGATCTGGATCGCCAGGCTATTCAGACGGTTAAGATGTGCCGGTGAAAACCACACTGCTCTGTCACATCTTCGAAATTCGATGATCAAACTAGAATTCAACAAGGACTGTCGACATGCACTGAAGAACTGTTTCGAAGGAAGAGGTCCGCAAATCAGGTCACTACAGCGAGAGATGGTTGCCTCAAGCCCCTTCCAGGTCGAGTCGCCCACGTCTTCCGTGTCAGTTGTCGCAGGCGATCCAGCTTCAGCCCACGAAGAGACATTACATGAAGGCATTCGCTCCGAGACTCCTCCACCGGAGGATGAGAACCACCCTGGCTTACATCGATGGACCCAGAAAGACGTCGAAGCTGCCATAGAGGAAGGTGATGTGGGAGAGCTGGTGTTATGCTTGTGCTCTCTGCACACCGAGATTCGGCGACAGGCATTGTCAGACATGGAGAAGCTTGTTGCCACACTGAAGGTATGGATCAAGTCACTTCTAAAACTGTGGATGATCGCTGACATCCGCCACCAGACTTCAACCTACGCGGAAAGACAGCAGGTCGAACTCCTTTTGAGCGAGCTCATCGAAACAGCCAAGGTTGTAATTGACGACGCGCCGCTACCTTATATCGCCGGCGCCTTCGCTGTACATGCTTTAAGAGTCATTGCGGATCCAGCGCATGTCATGTATCCGAAAGTCAACAAGTTTCTGAACAAAGGACCATCGTGGAACGTCAGCAGATTACCTTCTTACTGGGCTGAGAAGGTGATACTGAACCCGCCTGAAGAGGACGATGCGTACTACAAGGAGATTGACTGGCTTCTGGCCTTTCTCCACGACGGACTTCGGACGAACGGGGACATGGATATCTTGCGGACGCGTAACACGTTCGAGCGTATCCTGGCACTGTGCGCCTCGCCGTTCATCCAGCGAAAGCTCAAAGAGAGGGTGCTGAGGCTCGTTTTCCGCGCAGCTGCTGTGGGTGGCAGCACAACGCTGCTGACCAGGTCAGGGCTTATCAGCTGGGTGCAATCTCAAATAGCGCTTGGAAGCTTCGACGCGGGGGCGTTGAGAAGTTTGGCGTCACGGCTTTACGAGACGGCTGAGCATGAAAGGGTTATTGAGTGGAGTAGCGGTGCGCTGAAGGGCGCGGTCGAGGCGCTGGCAGCAGCTTGATTGAGCTGGGCGTCTGTAGATACCCTTCCTGGCTTACTAGCTGTGCCTCTGATGAAGGAGAACAACGATGCGAGATGTGCAGAAGAGTTTATGTGTATTTGATCTTAATCACGTGTTGTAGCCTTGTCCCTGCACGAGCTCCACTGCCCTGCGCCCACATCCGCCGAGACGCGCGATCGTCGAGGGTCGCTGAAACTGGAGACCGACGACACTTCACACTGCAACCCGCAAAGACTCGCTCAAACCCAAAACCTCACAGCTTACAACCCCACAACGCACATTCACGGAGCTTCCCCACTGGTCTCTGAACGTAGAGAAGCAGACATCCACACAAGAAGATCGACATTCTCGTCTCAGCTGCTCTTCTTCACACTGCCACACGTCACACGCCGCTTGGCCTCCGCCAACATTTTATGTTCCTTCCTACGTGCAACACCAATTCACTCCCTCCTTGAACAAAACACGAGTATCGCACCTGCCGGGGAGCGTCACACACTGCGCTCATCCTCAGCTAGCCCGGCACCACCCATAGCGAACACCGCTCACACCCCCGCATCGCATTATTTCCGCTATCCATACAACCCACGAAGACGCATATTCTTGTAGAGACTCCAGTGTGCGGTGCTTGTTGCCTACCGACCAGCTTCCGGAAATCTATCCGCGAAACATCCCCGCACTTTGCTCCATCGTTTAACACACGACTTTCGGTCTAGACGCCACTGCCAATATGGCACTTATCCGCTACAGTCGCGAGGAACTGCTTCGCTTCAAGGGTTCGCCTCTTGCGCAGAAGCCTGACGGACTGCCGTCGATAGAGCAATGGATGGAGTAAGCTACGGGAAGCATATGTACTGTAACTTTGGCTAACGCGGTTGCCAAAGATCCTCGGACCAGGCCCAGAGGATGAGGCGGACTCAGGGTAGCAGAGGCGATGAACACGTCACCAACAATGAGAACGGTCAGCAGCGCCCCTCGCTCTTGGGTATGAAACCTCTGCACAGGACAACGAGCGCGCGTAAGCCATCCGCGATTCCCCTTATATATTATTAGTGCCTAACTCCTAAGGCGCAGATTCAGAGGACATCGGGCTCGGTCCTTCGAAACCCACGTTCACATCCGCGTCCCGCATCAAGACCCTTGCAGACATCAGTGACAAGGG